GTGTGTGTGTATATATATGTATATATATATATATATATATATATATATATATATATATATATATATATATATATATATATGTATATATATGTATATATGTATATATATACATATATATATATATATATATATATATATATATATATATATATATATATATATATATATATATAGATAGATAGATAGATAGATAGATAGATAGATAGATAGATAGAAAGATAGATAGATAGTTAGATTGATAAATAGATAGATAGATAGATAAATAGATAGACCGAAAGATAGATATATACCCACATATAAGTATTTAGACAGACTGATGTAAATATAACATGCATAAGAGTAGGAGTTGTAATTCATTTTTTTCTGCAGTAATATTTATTTATCTGTATCTGAAATTTTGACTTTATTGTAATGCTCACCAGGTTTTGTTTTAGTAGACAGTCGGCAAATTTAAAGTCAGTTATATAATCAAAACCTGTTCTGACGGCATGTTCATAGACTTCAGATTTCCAACGTGCCATTTACCTGAAATGTCGGGAAGGGCACCCTGTAGTGCAACAGTGGCACTGCCAATACCCAGGTTCCTCAGGAAGACCGCCTTAGATCCGAATAGGTGGGTACCAGGCGCAAAATCAGTTGTTAAAAAGTATAGGCGATATGACCTGAACCTTTCTGATACTAGCTGTTGATAAGAACAAACTGATAAGCTCTTGTTCCTTATGCTGATATACAGAATGTGTAAAAGGAATGTTGATATATTTCATGATAATAAGCCTTGTGTTGCGCTTGATCAAATGTTTTTTTTTCGAGACTACGGAAAAGTGGTGAGTAACTTTTGAGGTATAACATTCGCAAACGTTTTATTTTCGAGCAGTTACTAGTAGTGCTTATCAGTGTTCACTCTTCCTTTATACTTTCAGTATATTTAGTTTCCATTACTTTCCTTTTATTCTTGAATTCTCATTACTTGTTTTGTCTATACTGGCAAAAGCATTGACTTTCAGAATTTCTAGTTTATCGCATCATCTTTTGCCTTTTTAGAAAGAGAGGGGAGATAGATAGAGAGAGAGATAAGGAGAGATAGAGAGAGGGAGAGGGGGAGAGAGAAGGGGGGAGGGAGAGAAAGAGAGAGAGAAGGAGGGAGAGAAAGAGAGAGGGGGGAGAGAAAGAGGGAGAGAGTTTGATTCCATTTGTTACAATGGATATTCTTGGTGTGACATACTGTCTGTTTTATTTTGCTTCTAAATTATCCCCTGTGTACAAGGAATGGCCGGGGTTACCATCCACTGGTGGCGAGGGATTCGAACGCAGGTCAGCAAAATTGCTAGACGAGATCGCTACCGCTGCACCACACAGCACACGAGAGAGGGAGATAGAGAGATAGAGAGTGAGAGAGGGGGGGGGGGGAGATAGAGACAGAGAGATATACAGAGAGAAAGAGAGAGAGAGAGAGAGGGGGGGGGGGGGGGAGAAAGGGAGACACACACAGAAAATATGTGAACAAAAGAAAGAAAAATTCAGATTATCAAATATAGAAAAAAAAACAGACCGACACCAAAGACCACAAAACCAAAAACCTTCAACCGAAAACAAAAAAAAAATCACCAACCTCCCCCCCCCCCCCCAAACCACCATGAATCCACGCACCATTACCACACAGACTCCCGTTGCCCCGTCAGTCAACCCGAGGCATAATATGGGCTAAACGAACCCACGTCGTCAATGGGAATAAATGACCACTTACTTGTGCGGGTCCCCATCCTTCGCTCTCTCAAGTTACTCCTTCCTTCTCCATCCTTTATTCCCTCTTCCTTCATCCTTCTTTTCCTTCTTCATCCTTCATCTCCATCTTTTATTCCCCCTTCCTTCATCCTTTACTCTCTGAGGTTACTCCTTCTTACTCTATCCTTTACTCCCTCTTCCTTCTTCCTTCTCTTCCTTCTTCATTCTTCATCTCCATCTTTTATTCCCCCTTCCTTCATCCTTTACTCTCTCAAGTTACTCCTTCTTACTCTATCCTTTACTCTCTCCTCCTTCATCTTTCTCTTCCTGAAGTTACTCCTTCCTCTGTCCCTTCCTCTTTTAAGTTACTCCTTCCTCCTCCTCCTCCTTCACTTCCTTAAAATTCTCCTTCCTTCCTCCATCATTCCTTTAATTTACTCTTCCTCTTCCATCCTCTACTCCCTCCTCCTCCTTCCTTCACTCCCTTAAGTTACTCCTCCCTTTCTTCCTCCTTTTCTGTGGTATCTTTATCCCTCGTAAGCCTTGGTAGAAGGACATGGAAAGAGAGAGAGAGAGAGAGAGAGAGAGAGAGAGAGAGAGAGAGAGAGAGAGAGAGAGAGAGAGAGAGAGAGAGAGAGAGAGAGAGAGAGAGAGAGAGAGAGAGAGAGGGAGAGAGAGAGGGAGAGAGAGAGAGAGAGGAGAGAGAGAGAGAGAGAGAGAGAGAGAGAGAGAGAGAGAGAGAGAGAGAGAGAGAGAGAGAGGGAAGAGAGAGAGAGAGAGAGAGAGAGAGAGAGAGAGAGAGAGAGAGAGAGAGAGAGAGAGAGAGAGAGAGAGAGAGAGAGAGAGAGGGAGAGAGAGAGGGAGAGAGAGATAGAGATAGAGAGAGAGAGAGAGAGAGAGAGAGAGAGAGAGAGAGAGAGAGAGAGAGAGAGAGAGAGAGAGAGAGAGAGAGAGAGAGAGAGAGAGAAAGAGAGAGAGATAAAGAGAGAGAGATAGATAGATAGATAGATAGATAGATAGAGAGAGAGAGAGAGAGAGAGAGAGAGAGAGAGAGAGAGAGAGAGAGAGAGAAGAAGAAGAAGAAGAAGAAGAAGAAAACGGAGTGAGTTCGGATGAAGAGAAGGATGGATCACTGGATAAATGAATCCAAGGTGATTAGAGTGAATTGGATGGATAGATGGTTGAAATAAGAGTCATTCGCTGTAACAGAATTGAGGATACATGGATAAGAGATAGGACATTGATTGGAATTGGCAGAATGGACGGACAGGTGGATAGAAAGATTACTAAATGGCTTTAAATGTAGCTTGACATATCTATTTCTAAATTTTAGAAAAAAAAATGCATTCAGGGTAAGGTACACGTTCTTTCTATGGTTTTGTTATGTTATTTCGTCTAAATTTCGACTGCTACTTGATAAACAGGTCAACTCGACGATTTGTGTTCAAGATTACTAAGAAATATTTGCGTTAGGATAAATTCCCGCGTTTATTTTCCGTTCCTTTGTCCGTTTTCTTTGTTAACGTTTTCTTTGTGCGTGTGTTCGAGATATAGATATCAATTTTAATCTTACAAGAATCCTTTCGAGGAAAGATTAAGACATATGCAGCGAGAGAGAGAAAAAAATAACAGACTTTCAATACATGTGAGTGCGTTTTAAGTACATGTGTGTACGTATGGGTGATTATTTATGTACGCATATGTCTATGTATACGAGTGTACGTGTGCTGTTACCAATCATGTGTAAGCGTGTGCGAGGGAACAAAACTAAAATTCCACAGCGCTTTTAGGATTAACTTCTATACAAAAGCCGGCATTGTTGAAACATCTAGAAGTTGGTTGTTCCCTTCCCGAGCTGATCCGGGTTTTTAATTCCCTTTTCCAAATGATTCAGGAGACCGACCAGTCCACTGGGGCGAGGGATGAGGAGAAGATTGTCTGCCTGTGTTGGTTTGTGTGTTTGGAAGCAGAGAGAGAGAGAGAGGGAGAGAGAGAGAGAGAGAGAGAGAGAGAGAGAGAGAGAGAGAGAGAGAGAGAGAGAGAGAGAGAGAGAGAGAGAGAGAGACAGCGACAGAGACAGAGACAGAGACAGAGAGAGACACAGAGAGACAGAGACAGAGACAGAGAGATAGACAGAGACAGGGACAGAGAGATAGAGAGAGACAAAGATAGAGAGGGGTGTTTATATATTCATTTAACTATATATACATGATTACATGTAAATAATTATCGTTATGCAGACATACAGCAACTTTCCATATCAGTGCCATTAACAGAGCGCTGCGGATTTAGCCTAATCCTTATCTGTATTAGAATAGTTAATGACTAACTCTCCCCCTCTTGATTATATGTAGATATTCACTCTTTCTTATTAGAGAGAGGGAGAGGCAGAGGGCAAGAAAGAGGAAAAGGGAAAGAGAAAGGAAAAGGGAGAGGGAGAGAGAGAGGGAAAGAGAGGGAGGGTGGGGGAGAGGGGGAGATAGGGAAAGAAAGAGAGAGATAGGGAAAGATAGATATTCACTCTTTCTTATTAGAGAGAGGGAGAGGCAGAGGGCAAGAAAGAGGAAAAGGGAAAGAGAAAGGAAAAGGGAGAGGGAGAGAGAGAGGGAAAGAGAGAGGAAGAGGAAAAGAGAGAGAGGAAGAGGGAAAGAGAGAGAGGGGGGGGGGGAGGGGGAGATAGGGAAAGAAAGAGAGAGATAGGGAAAGATAGATATTCACTCTTTCTTATTAGAGAGAGGGAGAGAAAGAGGAAGAGGGAAAGAGAAAGGAAAAGGGAGACGGAGAGGGAGAGGGAAAGAGAGAGAGAGAGAGGGGGGGAGAGATAGGGAAAGAGAGAAAGAGAGGGAAAGGAAGAGGAAGAGGGAGAGAGAAAGGAAAAGGGAGAGGGAGAGAGAGAGAAAGGAAAAGGGAGAGGGAGAGAGAGAGGGGGAGAAAGAAAGAGGAAGAGGGAGAGAGAAAGGAAAAGGGAGAGGGAGAGAGAGAAGGAAAGAGAGAGTGCGAGAGGGAAAGAGAGAGAGAGAGAGGGAAAGAGGGAGAGAGAGGGGAGTGAGAGAAAGGGAGAGGAAGGGAGAGAGGGAAAGGGAGTGAGTGAGGGAGAAGGAGGGAGAGAGGGAGAGGGAGAGAGAGAAAGAGATAGAGATAGATAGATAGAGTCAGTCAGCGAGTGAGAGAGAAAGATAGATATAAAGAGAAAAAAAAACGATAAAGAAAAAGCAAGAGAGGATACAGTACACATAAATCAACAAACAACTAAAATACATGTCACAAAAACACCAGCATTGTCGAAAATTATTTTATTTGTACAGCAACAATATTCTAACATATAATATATCTACGACAAGGTCCTTTACACACACACACACATATATATATATAGTATGCACTCATTTTCGTCGGAACAATATGTATGGTGCGCGGTTACATGCCCATAGACTGATAATACTTTTCTGCAATCACGCTTTTAAATCACGTTTTTGCCCTTTCTGTCATTACTTTCACATCGTATTGCTGATCATTCATACAACCGCCCACGCTATGCCATTCGCTTTATCTCATTCACGCACTGTATTGCATACGGAGTGTCATTTTATATTCTTTCATGCACAGGACGAATTACGTATTCATCTTTCACTTACTCAAATGCAAAATAACGCACTTCTTTTTCATAGGATAAAAGCATCAATTCTTTCAAACGAATATGAAACGTTTTAACGTTTAGTTCACACCCAGAATAGAAAAAAAGAACGCATGAGTTCTGAAACACATTTCGAAATCTAATTTTCTTTTCTTTTTATTTTTCTTGAAGTTGTTTTTATATCTTTGCTTGCGAAATATTCCTTTGTGCACTTATACTAATTACTGTCCAGAAAAGTTATGTATTATATCTATTTATCTTTTAAATGTGAATAAGTTACTCCGTTCGATTAGAAATGGGAGATAAATGCCTATAAACTTTATCAAAGTGATCGTGTCTTTCATTAATTCCTTTTTTTTACAGCCATCAAACAGTCACAAGATTCCCAACGGTGTTACATTTCTCATATTCTCTTGAGATCTTGCGGCAAGGCATCATTGCATTAAAAGTCAATTCAGCAGGTGTAACATTTTAAGTGTTTAACACAAATCAGGTTTTAATTTCTTTATTGAACTGGAAGAACATTCAGCTATCACAGTCATTCATCAGTCTGTTTTTGTTTTTTTCTTTGCGTAGGTAGATTTTTTTGTAACAAAACAATGGACCTTAACTACTCATCTACATTTTAACTACTTGTTTGTCGTAAGAAAAGTTGATACATGAACAACATAGTTTTGAATACTGTATGGAGTCGGTGTATGATAATATTTACGTCTATGTGTGTACCTATACATATAAACTTACATACGTATATATACACACACACACTTATGATCATGATGTTGAAAAATACATCCGCTGTCTTCATACTTAAAGCATGGCAGAAACACCTAAGGAAGGCTAGGCGAGACTACCTTTTATGACAGTCGTTTGAAAAAGATGCATTAGGATTCCTCCAAGGGACGTTGAGAGCGAGTAAGACATAGTGTCTCCCTTTTCTCTCCCTGTCCGTCCTTTCCTTTTCTTTCTCTTCCTTCTTCTACCTTTCCCCTACTCCTATTCCTCCTCTTGATTCTGTCCTTTCCCCTTTTCTCTTCTCCTGACCCCCAATTCCCAAGACTTTCTGTCCTTCTCTTCTTTTCCCTTCTCTCTTATACCCTTTCCCCTTCTCTCTATCCCCCCCTCTCCATTCTTTCACTCGTAGAGCTGTCTATTCGCCCCTGTTCCCTCTTTCCTTCCCTTCCCTCTTCCCTCCCTCTTCGTCCTCTCATTGCGTGATGAGGAAGGAGTTGACAGGGAGCTGTGAGAGAGCGTCGTTCATCACTCTCTCGATGAGGACGTTGAGCTGACGAGAGACTTCAGGCTTGACGTCGCGAAGGACCTCCTGGCTGTTCTGGTTCAGGAAGTGGTTCACGGTCTCACCTGCGGACGAAGGAGAGGATTGGTAGGAAAATTATGATGAGGGTTGGGAGGAAAATAATGATGAAGACTGGCAGGAAAGTCATGATGATTGGTAGATAAATTATGATGAAGATTGGTACGAAAATTATGATGAAGATTGGTAGGAAAATTGTGATGAAGATTGGTAGGAAAGTTATGATGAGGGTTGTGATAGAAGTAAGGGGTGATGTTAAGGTAATGATGATGAAAACAGAAGTTGGAGTAGAGATATCGATTATGCTTGTAATGATGGCTGTGGTGATGATGATGGTGATGATAACGATGAAAGAAAATGGTGATATTACGGTAATGATGATGTAAAATTAAAGAAAAGGGGGACTGAAGGAAAGATATCGATGCTGGTGATGTTGATAATGATGGTGGTTATGCTAATGAGAGAAAGGAGTGATATTAATATAATGCTGATGAAGAATATTAAGCATTAAGTTATCGATGCTTCTGATAATAATATTGGTGATGAAAGAAGGGATAAAAAGCACAGTGAATAATGAACGCAAATGGGATGCAGATTTCGATGCTGATGGTAATAATGCTGATGATGATAGTGATAAAAGAAAAGAATGATGTTAAGGTAACGATGATGAAAAGGTGTTAATTTAAAGATATCGATGCTGCTGATACTAATAATAATTATAAGGAAAAACTTGATCATATGACACTCATACGTAATATGGATCTAATAAAAAGGATAAAAGCATAAAATAGACTTGTGTTACTTGGAAAATATTTAGAGGTTCGTGACTCGTTGAAAGGGATTTAAACTGACCGTCTGCTTCATATCTATTATTATGGCTCTATCGATTTTAACACCCAAACATCTACTGTTTTAACATTACTAGGAGATATTGTTCAGTTATTAAAACGTTTCACATCTTTATCTTCACATCGATATATAAAAACATATGCGAATTCATAATTTTATACAAGACATAGCCATGTTAACATTACCCTTTAAACTATTTACAAAAAACAAACTAAAAGAATAACAAAAAAATACCAATTTGAACAACCTTCAATCAACTTGAAAAGAAAGACAGAAGGACATTTTCAAAAAGAAAGAAAAAAAAGAAACATAAAAAAAAATCTCAAAAAAGAAATAAAGAAATACAAAAAAAAAAGAAAGAGAGGAACAAATATAACAAAAAAAGAAAAGCACAGACACAGAAAAAAAAATAATCAAAGCGTATACACACCCAGGATAGGATCCCCATTGAAGAGGTTGCTGAGGTGGAGCGAGATGTCCCGGATGTTGAAATTGATGCGGGTGTCGGACACTCTGAGGCGCTCCTGGCCGTCGGGTCCCTGTTGCACGGTCAGCTTCCCCACTCCGGAGGCGTCGATGTTGTCTGGGGAGGAGGTGGAGTGGAGTTAGCGCTTGTAGTTGTTGTGGAAGTTAAGGGAGTGGAAGCGGAAGCGAGTTAGGACTTGTAAGTAGGTTGGTTGTGTTAGGAGGAAGTGGAATGGAGTTAAAGAAGTGGAAGCGAGTTTGTCTTTGTAATTAAGTTGGTTTTATTAGGAGGAAGTGGAAGTGGAAACGACTTAGGCCCTGCAAATAGGTTGGTTGTGTTAGGAGGAAGTGGGTTGTACTTTTAGTGATTGTAGATAGGTTGGTCGTGGATTGATAGCACTTAGGTCGTGTTAGAAGGAACGGGAAAAACTGATATGAAAAGGGTAAGGAAACCACGAAAGGATATCCATGGTATTATGAAGTTCATTGAGGCACTGAATGTTCTTGGTAGGAAGTAAGGAACGGATACCGGAAAATAAAAAAAACAAGAACGAATTATGACGTTAGTAAGAAACAAGTGGACATAGAACAAATCATGGATGAAAATAAAAGCATCCAATTATGACAAATTTCGTCTTTATAAACATCTTATTAAAAAACACAATAATAACGACAATAAACATCATAATAAAACAAGAAAAACACACAATAACAAGGACAATACATGATAAAAAAGCAGAAACTCACTGAGGTTGGTCCAGAAGCTTCCAGATCCGCTGACGGGGAAGACGATGACCTGCCCCTTGAGTTCATAGAGTCCAGCCACGCGGAGTTCGGGCACCTTGAGACCCACGGAGAGCGTCAGTGCCTGTGGGTCGGCGCTGGGGAGAGGAAGAGCGTCGTCAGTCGTGCGAGGAGGGGGAGGGGAGGGGAAGAAGGGGAGGGGGAGGAGTTGGGGAGGGGAGAGAGGTGGAGGGAAGGGGGTTGGGGAGGAGAGAGAAGTGGAGGGATGGAAGGGGCGTTGGGGAGTGAAGTGAAGGGATGGGGTATGGAGGTAGGAGAAGGATAATTGATGGGAAGAAGGGGAGGAAGGGGAGGAGAGGGAGACGGAGGGATGGAGAGGAAAGGGAGGTGGGAAAAGATGGGAAGGAGAAGGAAGTGGAAGATGAAGATGGGGAGGAAAATGAGGGGAAGAGATGAAGAGGGAGGCAAGGACAAGGTGATGCTAGAAGGATGGGAAAGGAGGAGAAGGAAAATATGATAAAATGAGGTGAGGGAAGGATGGGAAAAGGGAAAAGTGGGAAGGGGAATGAGGGATGGATGGGGAGGGAGATGAGAGAAGGATGGGAGGAAGGGGTAAGGTTGGAAGGAAAGTAGAAGAATGGAAGAGGAAGAGGAGAGAAGGAAGAGAGGGAAAAAAGAAAGAAAGGGTTGAGATAGTGTAAAGAGAGATGAAAAAATAGATAGATAGGTAGATAAACAGATGGAATGAGAGAGAGAAAGAGACAGGAGAAAGAGAGAGTGAAAGAGAGAGAGAGAGAGAGAGAGAGAGAGAGAGAGAGAGAGAGAGAGAGAGAGAGAGAGAGAGAGAGAGAGAGAGAGAGAGAGAGAGAGAAACTGAGAGACAGAGAGAAACCAGTATAAATTGTTGAATGTAACCATGTACATAAAAAATAAGAAACAGGAAGCAAGTATAATACCCAACATAAATACAGCAACTTAGAAAATTAAAATACAAACATAAACCGATTTATATCTGTTGAGAATCCTTCCTGCAATTGCTGTGATATCTGATAAAGGTTATTAACATCTTGAAAAATGTGAGCTTATCATAATTACGTTGACAAATATGCATTGTTTGCAAAGTGACTTGCATATTTCTGTTACAGCCATGGTAACAAGTGAATATTTTTTATCTGTCGTTGTTCCTGTAATTGTCATTATTATCATTATTTTATTATTATTATTATTATTATTATTATTATTATTATTACTATTATTATTATTATTATTATTATTATCATCTATCATTATTATCATCTATTATTATTTTATTATTATTATTATTGTTATTATCATTATCATTATTATTATCATTATTATTATTATTATTATTATTATTATTATTATTATTATTATTATTGTTATTATTATTATTATTATTATTATTATTATTATTATTATTATTATTATTATTATCATTATTATTATTATTGTTATTATTACTATTATGATGTTATTATTATCACTATTATTATTAATAACGATATTGCTGTCATCATTATGATTATTGTTATTAGTACTAGTAGTATCATTGTTATCATTATTATTAACATCATGCTTATCACCATTATTACAGTTATCATTATCATTAATATCATTGTTAGTTCTACTGTCATTATCATCTATGTGAGCATTACTGATATTGTTTTTACTGTTATCATATCATTATTACTATCATTATCATTAGCATTCTACAATTATTATCATCTATGTTAGCATTACTATTATTATCATTACTATCATTATTATTATCATTATTATTGTCATTATTATTATTATTATTACCATTATAATGATACAACTAGTATTACTAATATTACTACTACTGCAACTAATATTATCATTACTACCATTACTACTACTACCACTACTACACTAATAATAATAATAACAATTACGACAATGATAATCACCACCATAACCACCATAATACAAATAACAACAACAACCAATCAACACCACAAATAAACAAACAGACTAAACAACCACATTAGAAATAACCAAACACCACACACACATCACAGAATTTAGACACCAATTATTCAACAAACTTACTTGACATGAGACGTGGAATAGTTGGAGAGACCTTGCACTTTCACTTGCATGAACTGCGCTTGCACATTGACAGCTCCGTCTCCTTGCCGAAAAACGATGTTGTTGATGTGCATTGGCTCCAGAATAGGCAGGCCGAGCTCGGGGATGCCTGGGGGGTGGGGAGAGGGGTGAGTACTGGTGTTGGTATGGTGAGTTTGTATGGTGAGTCTGTATGGTGTATGGTGAGTTTGTGTGGTGAGTCTGTATGGTGAGTTTGTGTGGTGTTGTATGGTGAGTTTGTATGGTGTTTTATGGTGATTCTGTATGGTGAATTTGTATGGTGATGTTGTATGTTGAGGTTGTATGGTGATGTTGTATGGTGATGTTGTATGGTGATTCTGTATGGTGATTTTGCGTGGTGATTTTGTATGGTGTGTTTGTATAGTGATTTTCCCTTTTTTCTCTGTTCTGTTCTGTTTTTTTTTCCTTATATTTGTTTATTTATTTCCCTTTCGTTTATTTATCCATTTCCCTTTTGTCTATTTATTCATTTCCCTTCTATTTAATTTATTTTTCAAATTTAATTTCCTTTACTCTATTCTGTTTTATTTAATTCAATTTTTTTTATTTTATTTCTAGTTCGATTGGTTTTATTATCATTATTTATTTATCGATTTTATTTTCTTTATTTATTTATTTTGCTTTATTTATAATTGATTTAGATTTTTTCTTTATTTTTTGTTTATTCTTTAAGATAGCATTTACTCTTATGTGTGATATAAGACTTTTTTCTTTCATCAACCTGTTACTGCTAAATAAAATCAATGGTTTTCTTTGCCATTTTTAATCTGTGAATTCTAATATGTACTAACATACATTTACTTTTACATGGGCACGTATAAGTATATACATGTGTGCTTAATATATTTGTAAATCAGAATTGAGAAGAAAAAAAGAGAGAAAATGCTTGCAAAAAATCTTCACCTCCTCCCTTTCCCATGACACAAGACATTCCAGCAAAATACAACATTGCATGAGATTCGAAAATAAATTCTTTCTTACACGATCCCTGTTACAAAGGCCAGGAGGCGCGCGCGTGCACTTGTTAAACAGGAGAAAAGAAAGAAAGAAAGAGATTGGAATTGTGTTCAAATATGACCTTCTTTTGAGGTCACGAGTGCTTGCATTTCACCCGAGGTCAGGACTCGTGTTATAACCTGTATACAGTTACATTGATACAAGCTGTAAGGGGAAAAAAATCGTATTTTCATTTTTCAAAGTCCGAAAAACTAAACGAATTATACAAACGTTTATATTCTTTTGTTCACTAAAGCTGCTTTAAAACGAGGAAACGCTTATACTGCAACAAAATAAATATAACAACGCGATATAATTGTCTAAATCCTGAACACTATCATCTTGCAACCAAGGAAAACCGTGACAATAGAAAGTTGAATTTCACGAAAAGTTTATTATAGTCGAAATCAGACAGAGCCGGAGAGATTTAACAACAGTAATTCAGACATATTAGGACTCGTTATCTGTAAACTTACCTTGAAAAGCTAACAAAAATAGCTAAAGATACATAGAATAGACTAATCTTATCCAAAAATCACATATATTTAGTGCGATTCAGAAAAAAAGAAATGTAGTTATTAAAGAAATCTTTATTCTGAGAATACTGACGGAAAAGGTCACAGGAGATAATTTCAGAGACAGTTCACAGAATGACATTGAAGCCAGACGTGCATTTTCTAAATATGTACGCATGTTCATTTTTTCTAAATAATATTAGCTTTTTTTAAATATCTTTTTTCGCGTCTATATTTTGTAGAAGATTTGTCAGTTTACTTTATTTTCATTGTTTTAATCATTTCCATTATCACTGTCAATATTATTTCCATTATCATTAACAATATCATTTTCATTATCCTTATCATTATCGTGTTCATTATAATTATCATTATCATTATCGTGATCATTATCATTATAATCATCTTTGTTATCATTATCATGATTGTGATCATTATTATCATTATCATTATCGTGATCATTATCATTATCGTGATCATTATCATTATCGTGATCATTATCATTATCGTGATCATTATCATTATCATTATCGTGATCATTATCATTATCGTGATCATTATCATTATCATTATCATTATCATTATCGTGATCATTATCATTATCATTATCGTGATCATTATCATTATAATCATCTTTGTTATCATTATCATGATCGTGATCATTATCATTATCGTGATCATTATCATTATCATTATCATTATTATTATCATTATCATTATCGTGATCATTATCTTTATTATTATCATTATCATTATCGTGATCATTATCTTTATTATTATCATTATCATTATCGTGATCATTATCTTTATTATTATCATTATCATTATCGTGATCATTATCTTTATTATTATCATTATCATTATCGTGATCATTATCATTATCGTGATCATTATCATTAACAATATCATTTTCATTATCCTTATCATTATCGTGTTCATTATAATTATCATTATCATTATCGTGATCATTATCATTATCGTGATCATTATCATTATAATCATCTTTGTTATCATTATCATGATCGTGATCATTATTATCATTATCATTATGATTATCATTATCGTTATCATAATCATTATCGTGATCATTATCATTATAATCATCTTTGTTATCATTATCATGATTGTGATCATTATTATCATTATCATTATCGTGATCATTATCATTATCATTATCGTGATCATTATCATTATCATTATCGTGATCATTATCATTATCATTATCGTGATCATTATCATTATCGTGATCATTATCATTATCATTATCATTATCGTGATCATTATCATTATCATTATCATTATCATTATCATTATCATTATCATTATCATTATCATTATCGTGATCATTATCATTATCATTATCGTGATCATTATCATTATAATCATCTTTGTTCATTCATCATTTCGTGATCATTATCATTATCGTGATCATTATCATTATAATCATCTTTGTTATCATTATCATGATCGTGATCATTATTATCATTATCATTATTATCAATATCATTACTACTAACGCTATTCTCATCAAAACCATCGTATCATAATTATTATTTCAACATCACCATCATCGTTATCACCATCATCTGTCCATACTGTCGTTACCATTAACATTAATATTCTAATTAGATTTTCTCAAATTTCTTCGTACCGCGGCTGAATATTACGACTGCTTTTTGTTGCCTCAAGACATCTAAACTTGCTAGAAACCTTTTAGCATTGAACAGAAATGTATCTGGGTATTATAATCCAGTGTTCAGAAATCTTCGTCGCTTTGCATGATTTTTACCTCCTGGCAATACTATTTATACGCTTCTTTATTCTTGATATTATTCTTGATATTATTATTATTATTATCATTATTATTATTATCATTATTATTATTACTATTATTATTATTATTATTATTATTATTATTATTATTATTATTATTATTAATTAATTTATTTATTCTTTTCAGTCTTTCCCATACATATGTTGTTGTTTTTTATCTTTTAGTCTTGATAATTTCGGGTGTGTCAAATGAATATGCAATATCTATCAGAAAATATGCAATATATATATATATGTATATATACATACATATATATATATATATATATATATATATATATATATATATATATATATATATATATATATATATGTATATGTACTTTTTCTTCTTTTTCTTCTTTTTTCTATGTAAGGTTAACGAGTTGCTCTCAAGGTCCAATAATAGAAAAAAGAGGTCGGTGCCGTTGAAGACTTTAAATAAAAACGTAAGAAGAGTAAGACCGATGATAAAATAAAGAATAGCACAATTATGGATATAAAAAGGGAATACAGTTACGATAATTTCATAAAAAAATAATGAAAAAAAATCAAAACAACTGAATCTCACGTAAAAAAAAAAGGAAAATAACGAAAACACGAAATAAAACACAAACAAGAAACATATAAATGACACAAACAGAAGAATAACAAATTAAAAAAAAACAAAAGAGCATCACTATACCTGTCTTGGTGCGCGGCCTCAGATCCTCCATGATCTGTTTGAGGCAAGTGTTGAGAGCATTCTGGTTGTCGACGCGGCATTTCCTCAACTGCGATGCTGTGGAGGAGAAAACAGAGGGTGTTAGTGAACTGATGATTCTAACACGCTGAAAAAAACGGCTGTATTTTGATATTTGTTTATCTATCTATCTATCTATTTATCTGTCTATCTATACACTCATGGATGTATATCTGTTTATCTGTCTGTGTATCTACGCCCTCAATCCTCTTTCTCTGTCTGACCTTGTGTGTGTGTGTGTGTGTGTGTGTGTGTGTGTGTGTGTGTGTGTGTGTGTGTGTGTGTGTGTGTGTGTGTGTGTGTGTGTGTGTGTACGTGTGTCTATCTGTCACTGATCTCAAAAAAGACTGGATCGAGGAACTTAACCGCACGCAACGAATGCTGAAGCGCGCCTTTTTTGACGAGCTCACCTTGCGCTTTGAAATCAACGTGCATAGATCAAAACGAAAAAAAAGAAATAGGGACGCAGTGCTGTGCATTTGGATGCAATAAACGCAGAAAAAAAGAAGGGGGAAAATCAAGAGTGGTAACGAGGACAGTGAAGACGAAGAAACACACTTTAAATGGCAGTTCTCGAGGACATTTCACGCGTTCGTATCCTTGGGAAGTGCCTAAATCTTTCCTAGAATTTCTGTTTAAATCGTTTATGCTTGTCAGTAGTATGGATATACGTGTTGAGAAGTAAAATCAATCAGATAGCTATATAAATCGACTTACTTTATTACCTTTTACTTTTCTATTCCTTACTGCTTTTGTGCAGAGTAGCTAGCTTAATTGCGTTATTTAAATCAGCCCCATCTTAAAAAAAAAAAAAAAAAAATCCTATGAGTTTTTTTTTCTTTTCTTTTCTTTTTTAAATTCATGTGTATTTTTGAATTCAATTTTATTTGAATAACAAGTGTTGGATTGATTTTAACTTTCTCGTTTCTAAGCTAGAATGCATCAAAAAGCATGTTACGAACTTTCTCCTCCGTGAAATGATTAGGAAAATGTTGGACATATTAGATTTCAACGGTGAAGGTTACCTGCTTTCCATGCTGTGCGTATAGCCCGTATACAATCCTTATACAGAGATCTCGCGACTTAAACAGAGAGCTCACAACTTAGACAGAGAGCTAACACTTTATATAGAGATCTCGCAACTTAAACAGAGAGCTCATAACTTAGACAGAGAGCTAACACTTTATATAGAGATCTCGCAACTTAAACAGAGAGCTCATAACTTAGACAGAGAGCTAACACTTTATATGAGATCTCGCAAACAACTTAAACGGAGAGCTAACACTTTATATAGAGATCTCACAACTTAACAGAGAGCTAACACTTTATATAGAGATCTCGCAACGTAAACATAGAGCTCACGACTTATACAGAGAGCTAACACTTTATATAGAGATCTCGCAACTTAACAGAGAGCTAACACTTTATATAGAGATCTCGCAACGTAAACATAGAGCTCACGACTTATACAGAGAGCTAACACTTATATAGAGATCTCGCAACGTAAACATAGAGCTCACAACTTATACAGAGAGCTAACACTTATATAGAGATCTCACAACTTAAACAGAGATCTCGCAACTTAACAGAGAGCTCACAACTTAAACAGAGATCTCGCAACTTAAACAGAGATCTCGCAACTTAACAGAGAGCTCACACTTAGACAGAGAGCTAACACTTATATAGAGATCTCGCAACGTAAACATAGAGCTCACAACTTAAACAAAGAGCTCACAACTTAAACAAAGAGCTCACAACTTAGACAGAGAGCTAACACTTTTATATAGAGATCTCGCAACTTAACAGAGAGCTCACAACTTAAACAAAGAGCTCACAACTTAGACAGAGAGCTAACACTTATATAGAGATCTCGCAACGTAAACATAGAGCTCACAACTTAGACAGAGAGCTAACACTTTTATATAGAGATCTCGCAACGTAAACATAGAGCTCACAACTTAAACATAGAGCTCACAACTTAGACAGAGAGCTAACACTTTTATATAGAGATCTCGCAACTTAAACAGAGATCTCGCAACTTAACAGAGAGCTCACAACTTATACAGAGAGCTAACACTTTATATAGAGATCTCGCAACGTAAACATAGAGCTCACAACTTAAACAGAGAGCTCACAACTTATACAGAGAGCTAACACTTATATAGAGATCTCGCAACTTAACAGAGAGCTAACACTTTATATAGAGATCTCACAACTTAAACATAGAGCTCACAACTTATACAGAGAGCTAACACTTTATACAGAGAGCCACACTTAGACAGAGAGCTAACACTTTATATAGAGATCTCACAACTTAAACAGAGAGCTCACAACTTAGACAGAGAGCTAACACTTTATATAGAGATCTCACAACTTAAACAGAGAGCTCACAACTTAGACAGAGAGCTAACACTTTATATAGAGATCTCGCAACGTAAACATAGAGCTCACAACTTAGACAGAGAACTAACACTTTATACAAAGATCTCGCAACTTAAACAGAGAGCTCACAACTTAGACAGAGAACTAACACTTTATACAGAGATCTCGCAACTTAAACAGAGAGCTCACAACTTAAACATAGAGCTAACACTTTATATAGAGATCTCGCAACTTAAACAGAGAGCTCACAACTTAGACAGAGAGCTAACACTTTATATAGAGATCTCACAACTTAAACATAGAGCTCACAACTTATACAGAGAGCTAACACTTTATATAGAGATCTCGCAACGTAAACATAGAGCTCACGACTTATACAGAGAGCTAACACTTTATATAGAGATCTCGCAACGTAAACATAGAGCTCACAACTTATACAGAGAGCTAACACTTTATATAGAGATCTCGCAACTTAAACAAAGAGCTCACAACTTAAACAGAGAGCCAACACTTTATATAGAGATCTCGCAACTTAAACAGAGATCTCGCAACTTATATACAGAGACCTCACAGTGGTCACACCAAAATGGCCGCTGGGATTTTCATTGGAATCAAAAGCGAAACAATAGAAGCTTGATCCGAACTTTTTTTTTTGAGATCAGTGCTTTCTCAACTCTTTCTAAACTGGTTTAAGTCGAACATAAGCACCATAAAAATCAATATTCTCGTAATGAAACTTACAGTACGCAAATTAGATACATTTTGACACTGAAACTGTTAATACACATCTGGTTTGTTTAATTATATATATATATATATATATATATATATATATATATATATATATATATATACTATGTATTTATATATTTATATATATCTTCTTTCATTCTTTCTTTCTTTTTCACAATTGAATCTTTGTTGTTTATTTACGTTGAATAGTAGAATGCATCTTATTTTCCAAATACTTTTACTGTTGTTTTTTTCCTACATTTTGTCGGAGAGAGTCTGGTAGCTGCAGCGTCATCGTCAAAGAAAACTACGTAAAACATAATCATTTCCATGAAAGTGAGAGTGAAAAGCGAAGAGGAGGAGGAGGAGGAGGAGAAGAAGAAGAAGAAGAAGAAGAAGAAGAAGAAGAAGAAGAAGAAGAAGAAGAAGAAGAAGAAGAAGAAGAAGAAGAAGAAGAAGGAGGAGGAGGTGAAGAAGAAGAAGGAGTAGAATTATGAAAATAAGAATAAGAAGAAAGGAAAATAAGAAGAAAGGAAAGAAGACGGTAAGAATAGAGGCAAACATTTCAACTCTAGTTTAGTTTTAACTCTAGTTTAAGCAACAAAATTGCAAATCGGCTGATGAATAACGACTGCAGCAAGACGAAAAAGAGATAGGAGGAAAGAACAGGCGAAGAAAGGGAGAGAGATCTTTTGTCTTCAGGAAACTGCTAAGGAAATTCCCGAGTGATTATCACCTGGAAACAGATGGCGCTGTGTCTCCTGCCAATGGACACGTTCTATAAAAGCGAGAGAGAGGGAGGGGGGGGGGGGGGGAGAAAGAGAGAGAGAGAGAGAGAGAGAGAGAGAGAAAGGAGAGGGAGTGAGTGACTGAGTGAATACGTGAGTGAGATGGAGAGATATTTATACATATATATAGAGTGATGGGGAAAATAGAAATTTAATGCATGTCATACCACTATTTCAACATAAAAGTGAGAACGATTTTTTTTTCCACAAAATAGAAAAGTTTCACCACTTTCTACCGGAAGTATGAATTACTCATATGCAATGGCCTCCGAGGTAATATTCCATAATATCTGCTGCTAAAACGCTAATGACTCTCGCTCGCACCGTGACAGGGGTTACTAATTTCCTAGATTCCGAAGGCGAAAGTCACCCTCAAATTTTCACTTATTCCCGTTTTCTTTCTTTTTCTTTTTCTTTTGCTTCGTTTTCAGTTTTCTCCCGTTTTCTTTCTTTCTTTTTCTTTTGCTTCGTTTTCAATTTTCTCCCGTTTTCTTTCTTCCATTTTTTTTTATTAACCGGTTTCATTCTCTCATCTATTTACCGCGTTTTCTTTCTTCCATTTTTTCTTTTTTTATTCACCGTCCATAAATTACCAGCAAAGACATCATCTACATGAATTTAAGGGGTATATAGGATGACAAGCAGTTCTTGAGTTTGGCCAATGGACACTGATGGGCATTTTTTCCTTTGATTTTTCTGGTGGGTAAATTTCTATTACTCCTTACGATAATTCCGATATTGCTATGATTCTAGAAATAAATGTTTGACTCAAAATAACCTGAACTTATTCTACTAAATTTCTAGGTTATTTTCAGCGAAGATAGCGTGGGTTCGTAGCCTTGTCCGTGGGGTAATTATATATAAATAGTACATTAAAATCACATAAAACGTTACTATATTACAGTGCTAAGATAATATGAAACTACACAGCAAAAAACAATATCCGATGAAAGTTTCGTTTTACTTGAATTTAGCAAATTTTCAAAGCGAATTGAAAAGCAGTTAAAATCGAAGGTATAGTAGCGATTTATGAAACACGTTTTTGTGTATACTTATTTTTAATAGGGGAGAAAATACTCAGAAGGATTTTAACTTTCTATCAAGATGGATTAGAAATAAATATATACACTATATTCAACATCATATATAAACTGTGTTA